CGTATCGACGCACCTCCTGTAGTTCTTCGAACAGTTTGACTTCAGCTTGACATTCAACAGCATGATCGAGACATAATCGATCTTGGGTGAAGAACCCCGAAGTAACGATATGTGACGGCCGTTTCATCAACAGACTAGCTGATAAGGGCGCATTCGTGACTCTTCGGGGAAATAGCTGCAACGCTTTGGACGCCGATTGCTGTTTTGGTCACCGAAGGATAATTTCTCATTACGTCATTGGCTCCTGTTCTTTGATGCTTCCCGTCGGGAGCATAATTGGAATTTAATCAGATAATGCCTTTTAATTATCAAATTCGGAATTCTTGTTTCCATCAAAAGAGAGACCCAAAAATTAAAGTCGAAGCAGGAGAATGTTCCAAATACGCTAGTTCGTGTTTGTTCAAGCCAGAAAGTTACGAACGCAAGCCCTTCCTCAACATTGATCGAATAGCACCGAAGGACGATCGCTCGAAGCAGACACTAATCCTTTTGCACAGTCAAAGACACAAGACGACATCTTGATGCTCAGAAACATCGAAGCTGATCCCTTTGTACCGCCACTTCATGCACCAATCAAACAGCTCCAACATCTTTTCGGACATTTCTCAGGTGCGCCCAGCAACTCACTTCTTCTAGCACGGTAGCACCCATTCATCACATTTTAAGCGCCTGCGTATGTCGCCAATAATGGACTAGCTGCCACGCAGCACATGGTTCGGCTGTTGGAGACCCTGCACTAGCGCAGCTAAATTCTTACGCAGCTCAGGTTGGTGCAATTACGACCGTTGGAAGACTCGCAGGGCAATGGGTCCAACAAGTAATGCCGAAACATGAAATGCACCAGCTTCCTCCTGCATCACGCTGCAGGAGAGGGAAGGTAGAAAATCATATCAACTTTTCACCGCTAGTCAAACCTCTCCATGTGTGACAACTCTATCTTGCATCGCGTTCATGAATACTTGATGGATTTGCGTGCCATCCGCTTCTCCACTTCTGAGAAATGTCCGCGGCGTCTACGGAGTTTGGCTGAAGGTTAGCGGCGATGATTCAATCAGGGAAGCCCTGGTCGCATGCACCTAACTCCACAATTCCCCATACTTATCATGGAAAAGGAAACTAGCGATAATAATGCGAACTGGTGCAAGAATGGGGAGCGAAACAGCTACTTCTTGCTCTCCACGAGTTGCTGGCATTGAAGATCTGCGTTGCACGCCTCAAGGGTGAAAGGTGAGATGACCTGGCGCATTCGCTTAAGATCAGCGTCAAATCTAACCCGGAGAGGCAGGCACTTGCAAAGCCACGCATTGGGCAGATGAGAATAAAGGGCACGGCAGTTCGAGCGAAGGGATGTTTCGGTTGATGTGGAGAGCTCCCTTTTCAGCCACACTGAACAGGCTAGAAGACAGTTGGACTAAGGAGCTTGAAGCTGCCTAGTTACATGCACAGAACGAATCTTGTATTTCACATCTCCTGAACAGTGGCGGCTGAGGGGCGCAGAGAGACCTGTCCCCCAGATATATGCTGTTGATGTCCAGGATTCATTGAACCCGATTGAGTTTTGAAACTATTGCTTCTCGAGTTTTCCAACGAATGGAAAAATTTATCAAAGATTCTTCCTCGATGCTCGGATAAGCAACTTCGCCTACTAGATCGTTTCTGATTTCGTTTTCTGTTTAAGAATCCCCGAACTATAATGTAAATTCCAGACTCCCGCTCCCACACCCTCGGACCCTTACGTCGGCCGATACTATCCGATTTTTTGTTCGGTATTCCTCAACATTAAACCATATGTTCCCCTTCGTATTAGAATAGCATCCAGATAAAAGCACAGTTTCGAGTCTAAGCGCAGGATCTGTTATCAATATTCACCAGGATCTTACCCTTCCTCCAGCCACAGCCAGACTGAATCGTATAATTTCCAGCGAATCGAGAACCAAGACGTATCAAACTCAGCGGTGTTTAATCCACATTTTTTTTTTTTTTTTTTTTTTCGCTCCGCTTCAATCCCTTTTCACTTTACTCTTCTCCTCCAATTTGGTGATAGACTTGTGACGACATAATCATGTCCATGCACTGGAGCACTGTTACACTGTCATCGCCTATCAAGCGCGAGTGGATCAGGGTATAGAATAGTAGACAACAACCGACGGCGGATCGCTTGAACACAAGCAAATTATTATTATTATTGAACAGACCGTTGATGCCGGTTTTAGTTAATTCCATTCTAAAATCCGTAATTCACCAGCCATCCTTTTATTGGTACAGAATCTTGCTTGATACGGCTAACCTTCAAAATTGTCCCTTTTCCCTTTTTAGCCCTACGAAATATCCCCCTGCTAGCTGACGTGACGATGGCTTGCATTCACGGTCGCAAACATTTTCGAATCTGATGGCCGGTCCCCCGAAGATGGTCAAATCTGGTGGATATGGGCAAGGTTCAGGGACATGGATAATCATCCCTGAATAAATCCTTTTTTATATTATTATTTTATTTTATGTTTTTTACTTTCTTCGTCTCTATCTTGGGGGGGGTGTTGGGAAACTCAATCAATCACCGAACCCTGCTGCATTCCTGGTCAATCAATATTATACTCCGTACTCATGCAAGGGATGCAACAGGATTTGCTCCTCAAATCTGCTCACCCAACCTCGGCAGGCCGAGTTGAATAGCCGAAGAGTTAACCGAAGGGCCCTACATACGCTGTATTACGGAGTAGAGCTTATGCTGTATTCTGCGTACTTAGGGAGCCGATTGTGTGGCATTTGAATATGCATCCAGAGTAAGGACTGCTTGGAGGGAACTTGAATGGCCATGGGGTGGCGGAGCAGTTATTGAACAAATCGCTTTTTGCCCGGAGATGCCTTTCATTTTCTTGTCTTGGTGCATCAATAATCGCTCTCCCAGCCACACACCCCTCCCCCCCCCCAAAATGGGCCTGGTAGACCCGGAGATTTTAGTAAACCATGGGAGCGGAAGGGGAAGAAAGAAAGGGTAAAAAAAAAGAAACAAGAAAAAGGAAATAAGAACTACTCAGCGTAAGTTCGGATATAGACTTTGGCTTGTGCAAGGCAAGGAGCGGGGAGGGCCAGCGGGACAGCTGACATACAGCTCGATATATGCATGCTTCGCTGGCGGCTTCCGATCAGAGCAGCAGCGGCGAAGCGAGCGAGCAGGCATTCTCGATTCCAGCATTTGGCTTCGCCCCTCTCACAATGGAAGGGCTGAGTAGAGGTACATGTACAGTACACACGGTAACAGGACTTGGAGGTGGGTGAGCCAGAGACTGAAACGGATTGTAATCCCGAAGTCTCCGTTCATGAAACCAGTTGCGAAGGTCCAGACTTATATCAATAATAACGATATTATTTGGAAAAATGGGGAGTGGATATGGCTTCATATGATCAAGTGATGAAATGGCGCTCTATGGTGAAACAGGCTTGTTTCATTATTGTTTGAGCTCTTGAAAACACAATTAAGTTAAAATTTCCAGTTTGCCTTTCGAACTGAAAGATGGTTCTCTCAATGGAGCTGCCTGGATTGTCAAGTTGGAGGAGAAAAGATAGATGCAGCGTGTATGTCACATTTTCACGCCTGTTCACGAGTTCAGGTTGAGATTATCAAGAGAACCTTGCAGTGACCTAAGGCATTGAGATCTGTAACATGTTTTCAGAGAGATATATATAAGACGAAAATTAAAAAAAAGGCCCCCAAGAACAGGATTCTTCAGATAATCATCAACAATCTGTAAAAGAGACCCTCACTTCTTCCCAGTCGCATCAACCCATTGCTGATTACAACGAAAGGGTTGCCCTTAACTTGATCTACTTCAGTGGATCTTTAAAAAGCCCTAATATTAATGAACCTATTTACCTCTTCTCCCGCCGCTACATCAACCACCAACCGTCGCAGATCCCCGTATTTCCATTTTTCCCCCATCAGAATAGAAACTAAAACCGAAGAAGAGGGTGGGGGGGAAGCCCCAGCAAAAGAAAACAACGGAGGGCGGGGATAAAACGCAATGCCTCTCAATCCCCGTTTTCACCTTCAAAATATGTATAGCGTAAAGGCATACGGAAGCTTTGAAGGGAGTATTCAGTGAAACACGTCCACATTACCCATGATAGAAATAGTAAACTGAGAGAGAAGAAAGAGAAAACATGAGAGGGCTAGAGGAAAAAGGGAATTTATAGAGATAGAGGAATACTATGAAAAAAAGAGTACAACATCGGGTTTTGTTAAAGGAGTGGTTTTTCAATTAGTACGGCGGTGTTTTGAGAGAAGAGCGATGCAAAGATACTTCTTAATCATTTTGTTTGTGCCATTTAGCTAAGAGCAAGCGAAAGAGCGCAAGGGAAAGTGAGATTTGAGAAATACTTTTTTTAAATTGGAAGGAGGTGGTAGTGAATGCTTGAGTGATAACTCTATATGTAGAAAACTGACTGATACTGATTGCTAGGCCATGGTGGGTAAAAAATGGAAGAAAAACAAAAATGAACTAGTTGGGAAATAAAAGGTAAAGAGGTATCGCAGGAAAGATGAAAGGTTAAAGAATAAAATGAAAAGAATAAATATTAATGATACAGAGAAGTCAAAGAAAGAGGCAGAGAGTAGAAGAAAAGAAGTTTCAAATATGAAAGAAACCGGCTCGGTGTTCAGTGGGTGGTGACGGGGTGCTAAAGCAAATGAGGATACAAGGAGAACAAAATATACGAAAAAATGATGATGAGCTTGAAGTGAGGGCATATAATGAACGAACAAAGCCAGGGGGGTCAGGATGGCGGTCAGCAGACAGACATATCAGATGTTGTATCAAGCATACGGATCGATGGGACGGGATATTGTTGTGGATAGTTAAGATGAGGGATGGGATCAACAGTGTGCCAGCCGGATGTTGCGGTGAGATGGAACGAAAGGTGTTTTAAGGTCAGAAGAAACAGGAAAGTATGAGTTCAAGTTGGGCTGGATGAATATTGTTTGTCCACATGTTTCAAATCAATGGTTAACGTGTGCCCTTAAGATTCAACCAGCTCATATCTGTATTCGCGCTTTTCTCTGGTTTAGAGCCATCCGGTGTATTAGAAGATTCGGGTGCGTTCGATGGCCACAAGGTAACCGGGCGCTCCTCTCTTGCTTGATTCGCGAAAGGTGGCTGATACAAGCTACCAGAGTAGTTGCTACTGGCGACTCGCTCGTCCGCGAAATGATGTCCTCCTGTGGCAGACCAGCCTGAGTCGTCGTGTATATTTACTGGCATCCCAGATGAATATCTCTCATCCTCATAGTCGTCAGAGGCGATGCTAATGGAATCTCCACTGGAGATTTTTGCCTTCAATCCCTGTTGCATGACAATGGACTCGCCTAGCCTTGGTGCATGTTGGGTGCCTGGGCTGCCAGAGACAACACGATTGATAGGTTGGGGATTGCCCAATTGGTTAATTTTTAAGGGTGCAACATCAGATGAAATCGTAGGCCAGTCACTATTCCTGTAGTCTGACTTTGTCATCTGTGAAGATGCCGCTGATGATCTAGCAGATGTGTCTCTAGCTAGGTTTGCCTCATTATCGCTCTGGAAATATTTGCTCCATCCTTCGTCGGTACGTCGATCGCCTCGAGTAGAATCTTCATCGCCTGGAAGTGATATCGAATTCTCGCCTGGAAGGTTAGCCGTACGGATTTGTCGAAGAGGACTTCGGCCGCCAGTTTCCTTTTCTAGAGCGCTTAGAGCTGGGCTGGGGCGCATGGGGATAGCAGTAGCTTTTGACGGTTTGTCATCAATTTGACCAGACATTATGGCCCAAGAATTTGTCGAGGGTACTGGCCCTCTTGCCATTGGCTCAACAGAGCGGGTTAGTGGCTCCATCCCTTGGTCCTGGAAGCTGAGTCGATCTTTATCCTCCTGATAGCCATTTCTGCCCCGGTTCATGTACCGATTTCGTCGTTTTCTCCAACCGATGAAAAGAAGGATGAGGATCAAGAGTGCGGCAACGCCTAGAATCGCTCCAAGGGTCGCGCCTACGATCGACAATGTCCGTCTATTCCCAACTCCAGGCACCAATTCAGGGGCACCAGTAGAAGATGGCGCAATGGATGAAGACGAGGATGGTAAAGCCGAAGCAGATGTGGGAATATTAGGAGTCGCGAGGAAATTAGTTTCGTCTCCAAGTAGCAATTGCTTCGTATCAACCCAACTATTTTTAGACTGGTCGAAAAGCCTCACTGGATAGTCAGAATGGCGCCCGGTTATGACTACCAAACCATTCCCATCCTGGGCAAGGGAAAAATCATCGAGGGTCGAATTCGGGGCGTTTTTGCTATTGTATTTGGGGAAAGTTGCCAAAGTCACATCGCCCGTTGTTTGTTTTTCTGGGCTGGTGGCACTGCCACCAATTTGCTCACCAGGGCCAGCAACCACACCACCTGCGCGAAGTATCACATATCGAGAAACAGAATTAGGAGACCTACTCACGTCAAAAACTTCGAGGACTCGGCTACCGTCTGCACCAAGTAGCATCGCGCATTGAACTTTGGACTTCTCTGGCAAAGGTTGAGTTATAGGAACTCCGGTGTCTCGCCATCCTTCGGCTTTGTTGAAAGTATATGTTCTGGTATTAGAAGGGCCACCTCCAACCATAAATGCAGAGTCTTCGCTCCAGGGTAACAGTAACGGATCCACTGCTGGGTCAACTGGTGCGTTAAATGACGCAACTACGTGTGGGGGAGCAGCAGGAATAAGGAATGTTTGCGTAGACGGGTTGATGTGTCCATTTTGGCTGCCAGCAAAGACTAAGAGTGAAGAGGAAGCGGTCAGGTAGCTAACGCCATGATGGATGCGATTTTTGATGTCCGTGTTACCCTGAAGATCCAATGACTTCCATCTTTTTGTCCTCAGCGAATAGAGCTGAATGCCGCTGTAGTCAGGCGAATCGGATTTCCCTCCAATCACGTAAATACCTGGGTCATTCGGGTTACCATCCACACCTCCCAGCGTGCAGGCTGCGTCTGAGACAGGCACTTCCATACGAAGCCTCGACCATTCCCCACCACGCTCCAGTGGGAGCGACATAAAGGCATCGGGCGTAAATACATAAAGAACGCCGTCATGGACGACGGAGCAGTGTCCCCTGAGTTCAACAGGGGGTTGACGGAGCGACATCTTGGTGGATGAGAAGACGAGAGAGCTGAACGCCTCTCGACGGTGATAAGGGTAACCAAGCGTGGGTTTCGCGGGGGTTTATTCTCCAACGGGGTGTGACGATTAAGGCCTTGGTAGCCCAAGAAATGTGACGCCGCTGTGCAAAACAGGAGAACCTATCTCATAGTGCGATAAACCGATTCACAAAAAAAGTCGTAAGTCGTTGAGAGAATAATTTTGCCCGACGATGTTTCCCAACCCCAAGCCACAAAAACCATAGGAACAAAAACGCCGTCTCATGCACCAGATAACTGTGCCGATGAAGGAAACTGGCACGAGTCGATCCGAAAACGCTGTGGGGGTTCGTTCCTGAGTCGATAACTTCCAGGTCAACAGCGACAGCCCTTCATCCCAACCGCAAAGCAACAAATGATAGCTCAAACCGAGTCGAACCCAACCCAATACGTCGGAATACTTATTTAAATATATATATATATATATATTTTCAAACCATTAACGAACCAACCCACCAGCCAACCAACCAACACCACCAAACGACGATCGATCCACGGTGTCAATGGTACGTTGATGTCGAAAATGCTGGTCTAAAATCGAAATCCAGCTCTCGGCCAAGGGAGAGATACGAATTGAGAATGGCTCAAGGGAGATAGAAGCGGACGAGCGATGCCATAAAGTTTCTGACGGGTGGAGTGAGGGAAAAGTGAAACAACAATGGTTGCAACAGGAGTATCCAGACTTAGGTATGTCTCTAACCAGCGAGAGGAGAAGCACAATGGAGAGAGCGAATTGATGCAACAGCACCGGGCGAGAGACTAAAGGAATGGGAGTGCCGTGAAAAGGCAAACAGACGCCGGGGATGGTTGACGTTGAAGAGGTGAGGTTGGGGACGAGGGAGCAAAGAGGGAGAGAGCAAGAAAGGAGATGTGGAAGGGGCAAGTTGCACCAGCACCCACTAGTTAGGAGCAAGCGATGTTTGCTGAGTACGAGCCTAGCCTAGCGTACGGGACCGGTAAGGGGGGGAAATCTTGGACCAAACAAAACACGGGCTGGGCATTTTTGAAACAGCGGGCTGGTCGTGCGGGCTGTATTTCTCAGGTATTTTTAGCCAGGGGTTGGTAATGCTGGTGTTGCAGGCTGGGCCAACGTCTGGGAACGCGAACTTTACCCAGAGCCCAATAGATGTCCTATACGGTATACGGTGTCCGTTTCACGAATTCACAAAATACTGGCATAGAAATCAAAGCCTGTCTGAAATCTACACACCCAGAGAGCAGAAGGGTGAGGGGTGGGCCAAGAAATTACAAGGCTCTCGGGGACCTAGCCAAGAGAACGGATCTGTTTAGCTCAGGGCGGTGCTGAGATTCGGTACCTGCGACAAGAGAACATGGGGCAGTCTCACTAAGCTAATAGGTATCCGATACATACTTTGTCCGGCAGGGGTTCCGTCACAGATGCGTTTGGGCGCTGTCACTAGAGTATCTTGCTTGGTATTGTATTGTGGAAACAAAACCCGCCGCGACGGATTTCCATTCTCCTATGCAATTTCCTTGGATCAAGTCCATCCGTGACAACAGCAGCAGTTATTAAATACCTCGACTTGAAAATAAATAACGTATCTGGATATATCTGGATGTGATTCATATGTTATGTACAGTACAAATATGTTCAAAAGCCTCTGGTCTCTTCGAAGGAGAAACATCGAATGCACGGATTTGGCTTGCATAAAATTGCCCGCAAAAGCCTTGGCATTTGTATTCCTGCGACGGAGTATTTATCCCGAATAAAGTGGAAAGTCGTAGGGCAGAACACCAACTTCCCTCTCGAAGCATCTTGATTTCTACTCCGTACTTCTTGAAAAGGAGACAATGCGAGATCGTCAATAATCGGCAGCTCCAAGACGCTTCAAAGCCCGACAAAAATCGATAATAAATTGATCCAGGAATCAAAAATCAAAACCGTCCCGTTCCTTCCATCAACGTGTGTCTATCGTTTATCTATCGTATGCATTCCATCAACTGCAAACAGGTTACACCGTCACAAAACCAGGTGATTTTCTCATCTCTCCCTCCCGCCTGGAAAGAAAATCCAGAAAAAAAAAAAAAAAAAAAAAAAAAAAAAAAAAAAAAAAGACCCAATAAATTAATGTACGTCCTGCCGTTTTCTTTGTGCTTGTGCTTGTATTATCCCACCTGGGCAGGCCTGCCTAGGTACTAACTAACCTTGAGTTTAACAGGCTTCTTGTTTCCTTTTCTAACATACTGAACAAAACAAGAACCGCTATCATGGAGTCATCAAAGGGCCAAGAAGGAATATATATACATATACAAACAACTCAAGGTTTATTGTTTAATTTCACTTGCTTTTCCTTGCTTCTTGCATGCATTTTAGTCCCTTGAATTACACATAATGACTCGAACTACACACTGTGATATGACGTGATGTCGTCATTCATTGAGCAGGTGAGCTAGCTGAGGGCCTTCCTGGAAGATTTATCGGAATAACTCAAGGGAGCCAAAAAATAGTAATACCCAGATTCCAGAACATCCTCTAGTATTGATTGACACGAAAAACAGCAGTTCCTTTCCTTTGCTATCTCTCTCCTTCTTCTTCCTTCCCCTTTCTACCTCTACCAAACTGACCCTGAAACCCGAGGAGACCCCAAGGTTGCTCAAAAGCGGATAGTATGCGTAGAAGAGGCAAGGCGCTAGTTGCACAGCATTGAAAATGTTTTCCGAACTGTTTTCAGCACAGAAGCACGGAGGTTCTGTGCGACCAAACTGCTTCCTCTTCTCGCACATGCGTGGAGGGAACCCGAATTCGAAGACAAAACCGGAACAAAGAGAAACCTGGAAGCGTACAGTGGTGATGGGGTGGCAGTTGCGATTCGACCGACGCTTCGCGGGGCCTGGCCCATTTGAAGGAGCGATAATTCTCGCCGTTCATTCAATAAACTTCATGAAATAAAACAAATAAAATACCTCTTTCTTTTTCTCTCCCCTCATTCGTTGCGGGAGATTGACGGCAGGAATCTTGAACAGGCCGAGTTCCTTCGCAGGGCTGGTGTCGAGCCAACCGGAAAATCCCACCAACCCCTGAGCCTTATTTGAAAACCAACTGGCAGTGGCCACTGGCAGGTAAAAGGCAGCAGGGGAGTCTGGTGAAAGAAATGGTCCTGAGCCTAGCCTTGGTCGAGAAAAAAAAAAGCTGCTCAGAATGGTTGGTCCAGTGTGTATCGTTTACGCATCCATCGTTCACTTTCTCATGAGGCGCCTTGCCATGAATAGCCAACGTGCTGGTGTTTGTGTCATTGAGCTCCACCTTGGATTGATAGGCCCCACGCAGAGTGCCAGGGATTGGATCGCTACCCAAGAATTGAGTTCCTCCAAGACATAAAAACACTCTCATGATATATTTTTGCATCGAGAGCAAGTTACTATGTAGATATTGATTGTTCTACAATCGATAGAAACCTAACAAGACATGAAGAGGGACATATGCTAACATAGCAGTTTCACTTGGAAAATGCGTGAACATATCGCCAATATATAACCCATGCTTTGGCTCCTCAGATGGATGACTCCCGCCCTCAGGATTGATCCATTTGTTGCGGTGAGTGACCTTGGGCCCGAATGTCAAAAATACTAGTAAAAGGGAAGTCTCCCAAAAAACACATCCAATGCGCAACCGCAACCCAGGCCAGTACTACCACTGCGTATGTCTTCCTGTTCGTTGATAAAGATAAGCAAAATATCCAATTCCACGTTATGGAGTAGAGAGCTCACGGATGGGTTGTCATCGTCATCGAGCATTAGCATGCAAAGGTCACTGTGATCGCCAGGTAAGAGCTTAACCTTCGCTGACAAGCCAGTCAGCCAAAACCTGTGCCTGAAAGACCCGCCGCCCACTGTGAGCCCCAAAGAGCCAACCTCATGATTCGCTTTTGGCGATTCGATTGGTTGATTGGCTGGGTGTGGGTGGCGATGCTGCTGCTGCTGCTCAAATTTACCTCCGTCAGTAGGCGCCCGTAGAGGGGGCGTGTTTTATTAAGCGATTGATCACGATTGATCACGACTGACTACAGGTGTCATTGGCGTGGTTGTGGAAACGGGGGAGATTTGTTCCCCACATATATTTTAAAAGGATAAACTTAGATCAGTTACTGCGAGACGTCTTTGTCATCGTTGTGGATTGGGTTATGGTTGAATAAGAGTAACGTTCAATTGATTGGATGATGAATGTTGATAGATGTCAATTAGCTGATGTGAGTAATATTGGTTCTTCAAGCGCCTGGAATATTAATCTAGCAGCAAAATGATATAATGCCCTTCTTAAAACACCAATATAGCTAAATCACTGGCTGCAAACGCCGTGCTGTACTCTGATGTAACTGACCGCTAAGCAATTTGAACAAATAGAAACAGTTATGTCCCTCCGTCTGAGACACTCTCTCATTAATCCATCCTAACGACCGACATGCATTCATGCCTCTCCCTTCCCCATACTGCTCGCCTGCTCCTTTTTCCATTGGTGTGCTCTCTGAAGAATTTGTGACAATTTGGCTGACGACTCGTCGTCTGCAGGGAACATGTAATCCATGTATTCTTCATAGCGATCATCATCCAGCTTGCGTCGCTTCTTGACCTTGCTGGGCATTTGCTTTTCGATCTTGGCGATGTCATCCGGCGACCCGTGTGTCTGCTCGAAGGATTTCCACGCATTGAGGAGAGCGACTCGCTATAAAGTGAGAAGAATGTTAGCTTCGGCATAATCTGATCCACTAATGAAAAAAAAAAGATTTCTGAGAGAGTGAGGAGAAAAATACGAATAAACGTACCTCTTCTTTCATCTCCTTCTCTTTAAACACATTGTGCGCGCGCTCAAAGACTTTTCGAGCACGGCGCTTAGCCTCTTCGCTAACAGGTCTCTCTTTCCTCCTCCCTCCTCTTCCTCATCCCCTTTCAGGTATATTAATTCCGAATCGTGGCGTAATTTGATCCCAGACTTTTGACGTGAATCCGTTTTCTCGAGCAAGCGTTCGTACAACATCCCTAATTTCTATTATACTCCACCCTCCGTACTCTTCAAAATCGA